GATGCCGAATGCAGGAAGATCACAGGCCAGTGGGTGAGAAGTCTTGTGGATCCAGTGGCATTGTAAGCATCTCAGCGCTGACAGGGGTGTCCACATTCATCCCCCAGCTCAGGGCACTAGTGTAGCTCCATGTGTCTTGTCAGCAGCAATGTCTCCCAGGGAGTGAGCCTGCATCCTGCCTCCAGCAAGCTATTTATCTCCTTAGCACCTCTAAATGAGGTCATCAAGCTGCAACCTGATTGACAGGCTAAACTCCACCCCTTCACTCATCAGTCTCAAATTGACAACAGATTATGTAACTACCACAGCAGCCAACACAAACAGCAATACAAATCTTTGAAGGGACCAGTGAAAGAAGAACTTGAATGAGGTCTAAGAAGACTGAGTGTGAAGACGAAAGCGAGAGGCCCATCGTGGGTAGATTTTCTCAGCCTTTCATCAAGCAACGTTAGTATTGTTTTTAGTTGCTCCTGAGTCAACTCCAAGTCATGGTGACTGTGTAAACAACAGCACAAGCACGGCCCAGTCCTCCACCATCCCCACAATTTCCAGAAGGTCCAAGCCCATTGTTGCAGATCTTATGCCAATCTTCTTGAGGGTCTCCTCGCTCTGGTTGGCCCTGTGCGTTTCAAACATGATGTCCTCCTCTAGCGGTTGAGCCCACTTGATGACGTGTCCAAAGCGAGTGAGTCCTACAGTGTTGGGTTTGGGACTCAAAGGGTTTTCATTGGCTAATTTTCAGCATCAGAGCAACACCTAAGCCACCACCGTACAACAATCCGACAGGTGGGTGGTGGACTCAAGAGACAGTGAAGGATAAAATACTGACCTTGACTTTTATATCACATTATTCAAAAGACATCATGGAGGTCTGAGGAAAAGGACAGTTTTGCCTAGGATTTCAGAAATGTCCAAGTCCCACCCTGCCCCACTAGTTTTCTTTTTATAGGATTTCCTTTGCCATATACTAAGACCGCCGGGGGACATTTTCTCCTTTCTGCAGTGGTACAACACAGAGACTCTTCAGAATCCAGTGAGGAGAACAAGCCCCCAGATGCCTTGCTGCACTTGGCACTCCAAAGTGGACCTGCAGAGGAGGGTAAGGGTGGAGTATTAGTCTAGGTAGACTAGAGAAACAAATCCATGGACACCCATATGCGTATAAGAAAGAGATTTATATACAAGAGCAACTGAACATTGAGAAAACATCCCAACCCAGTCCAGATCAAGTCCCTAAGTCTGATACTAGCCCATATTCCCGATATCAATCCATAAAGTCCTCCTCAGACTCACGAAACACATGCAATGACACTGAATGCAGAAGATCACAGGCCAGTGAGTGGAAAGTCTTTGGATCCAGTGTCATTGGAAACATCTCAGTGTGGGCAGGGGTCTCTCTGTGGCTTCTCCAGCTTCCGAGGTCTGGTTGGGTCCATGTGGCTTGTCTTCTGCAATGTCTCCCAGGGAGTAGCAGAGAGAGAGAGGTGTCTTCCGCCTCCAAGAAGGAAGAAACAGATTTCCCAGAATTCT